CATCATTCTTGCCAATGTCCACAGATGTACACACATGGATACATATATTTATACACATAAATATATGGAACACAATGAACGCATGCATACACAAATATAAACAGTAATCTCCAGAGCACTGAATTCAGCTGGGAATTAACCAAAAGAGAGAACACAGGAAGAGATGTCAGCTTGGGAAGTAGATAAAAAAAAATGAGGATGACAATGAGTTCAATGAGAGGCTCACTGAGTTGAAATTCCTGAAAATGTCCAGCAGCCAGCTGGCTGGCTAATTCTGCACTTGGGTGTAAGGTCTCAGAGACCCTGAGTCAAGTGTCCTTGGTCCATGAATCATGATTAAGTTGCCAGGAGCAGAAAAAAGATATTCAAGAGAGCCTATATGTGAGAAAAGTTCTGAATTTGAGATGGAAACTTGGGGACACCAACATTTACAGAAGAGTATAGAAAGAGTTCCCTTGAAGAGAGCTTAGAATGAATAAGGAAAGCCAAATGACCTGTTGTCATGGAAACCAAGAAAAAAGATGGATTCGAGAAGATGGAATGGTCAACATCATGAAATGATGCAGAGAAACATGGGCATATATAGTCATTAAAGAGATGAGATTGGAGGGAAAAAAAGTGAAAGGCCGAGTAAGGAGGCATTAACCATCCTAAGGCAATTTATCCATTCTTTGATTGTATAAATATTCACATGTCTACATGCATAAGACCATGTGTTCATTGTGTAAAAATGATAATCACTGAAATGTGTAAATGTACAGAGATACAAATAAAATGAGCCAGTGTTCATTTTGCCATAATTTCCTTCTATCTCCTCCTAAAAGATCAGAAGTGGGAAAGGGAACAAATAAGGATTTTATTATTGTTGATAATGACAAGCTCTTCTTCATCCAAAATCTGACTCTGTGGTAGTCAAGGTTGCTACCTGTGGTGGTCCCTATTGAGAGAAGTCTATCTATTTCATTTTTTTTTTTTTAAGAAGTCCACCTATTTTATACCCAGTTCAAGAATCATAGCCAAGAACATTGTCATGGTTCAGAAGAACAATACGTGTATGAAGAACAGTAAAAACCTTGTGTCAGTCAGATCACATGCCTAATCAAAGGGTACATTCTTTAGGACAGTAGCACTCTCAATGAAAAGACTAAGTTAGAGGCCATCAGGTATGAGAGTAAACCAGTGGTTCTCAACCCTGTAAGGGACATTTGAATGTCCAGAAACATTTTGGTTGTCATGATTAGGGGTGTGGAAGTGATATTCTACTGGCATCTAGAAGATACAGGCTAGGGATATTGCTAAATATCTTAAAAGATACAGGACAGTCCTCCACACAAAGGACAGTCCTCCATACATAGGCACACACAACAAAGAATTATCTATTCACAAATGTCAGGAGTGCTGAGGGTGAGAAACCTTGAAATGAATTAATGATCCATCTTTAGTTTATCTCAAGGATCTTCATCAAAAGCTTACATTTATAGATTATCATTTAGAAATTACTTATGCAAGCATGTTTTCATAATGTTTTTCTTTGATGTGAAGTAAACAGAATAATAATTTTTATTTCATTTTACAGTTGAAGAAACTGAGCTGGATTATAAGACTTGCCAGAAATCTAACCATGTCTCCTCATCTCAGTGTTCTTTTTACTAAATGAAGAATAACTATTTTGTGTGTGGAAATAAAGCTTTCTAGACAGCCTCAAGGGAGTTCTGGTAGCATAGTGTCTAAGGCACTTGACTGCTAACCAGAAGGCTGGCGGTTCAAACCCACCAGCCACTCCTCGGAAGGAAGGTTGGGCAATCCTACTTCCGTGGTGATACTGCCTCGGAAACCCAAGGAGGGGTCGCTATGAGTCAGGGCTGACTCGACGGCACATAACAACAACAACAACAGACAGCCTCAAAAATAACTGATTGAGTTGATTATGTATCTTGTGTAAGAGCTACATTCCTATAACTCAAGGATTTCAGACGATTTCATTAGCAGGTCTAATGAAGGAAAATAAAGCCCTGAAAGGCTTAGGCTGATTTTTTTCTTTTAGGTCCCTAATGCCACCAAAGTGCATTCCAAACTTTGGTGCTCTGAGAGGTACAGCCAAGTTGATTCTGGTACTCATTAGGCACATTTATTAGACAAGTTTATTAGCCATGGATTGTTCCACATCCAGATATGCCTTGATCCTAACCCAGGCTTGGTCAAAAAAGATGTATCACCCATCTCAAGGCCAAAACAAATTATAAAACAGTTTATGTTGAAATCCAACTTTGTGTTTCAAGACATTTAGTAACACGCACATAGTAATATCACAAATATTGTTTCTCCAACCTAAGTGCAAAGTTGATTCAACACAAAATCCTGTGTGGATATGAGAATGACCAAGTTTACTAACTTGGGGACAGAAGTTAATGAGGGGAAACACTCTTCCAGGACACTAGAAATCTATGGGGAGCTCTGGTGGCATAATCCCTAAGGCATTTGATAGCTAACCAGAAGGTTGGTGGTTCAAACCCACCAGCAACTCCTCGAAAGGAAGATTGGGCAATCTACTTCCGTAGTGATGGTGCCTCAGAAACCCCATTCACATCTGTTAGAACCAAAGGTACAGAGTTCACTATGATATTACAGAAATACCTTAGAATCTTAGGAGAGAATATCTTCTTCCCACTGAATTCATACTTAAGGAATGAGACCACTAAGTTTCACATATTAAAAAAAAAAAAATCCTGAAAACTAAGAGATATTGACATCCCTAAATGGGGAGTATATCCAAGATCATATATAGGGTTGGCAGACAATGG